GAGAGAGAGAGAGAGACGGTATACGCCACTCCTTCTCTTCTTTGAAGTTTCGCCTCGTTGCCGCTTTTCATCGACGAACGTTTCTCGATTCGTTTTTTTCGCGCGCCGTCCAGCCAATTCCACGGTATAGCGATAAATTTCTGCGTGATAGAGGCAGACTCGTTGGAAATATAAAATCGTTCGATTGGACAGATATTTAAAATCATGAGAACGCGGATGAAAATTAATAATTGATTTATCGATTTTTTTAAATAGTATTATTTTCGAGAAAGTCGAGATGTTAAAACTTCGAAGATGGGCCGATAGCATAATCGCGCGTCTATTAATAATTAAACTAATAATATCTCGCGTGATAGAAGGGTTGAAGAGGTAATATACGTACGTAGCGATGCGTACGTACGATATCTTACGAGCTATCCATCGCTCGCTTTCTCTTCTCGTCGTGAACCATTCTCCACTTCGTATCCGCGATGGTGGAGCCACCGCTTTTAATTCCTCTCCCTTCTTCTTCTTCTTCTTCTTCTTCTTCTCCTCTTCCTTCTCCTCCTCCTCCTCCTTCTTCGTTCGCTCTCCTCTCCGCCTGTTAAACCTACTCACCGATGCTTTCTCCTTTTGCAACACACCATTGTACTCCTACCTCGCTACCAATCATCGTCATCCTACCTACCTCTACCTCTCCCCTCCCCCCCCCCCATTCTTAACTTTACACGCTCGATTATGTCGATTATATATTATATAAAAAAACGATATATCTTCTGATCGAAACGGTGTAAAATTATTAATTCGCGATTATTATATTTATAACAGCAACAACAACAACAACAACAACAACAATAATAATAATAATATTCGGTCACTTAAAAATACAGGACGGATCCGGTGGGTCGCCCCAGAGAGCGATCCCGGTAGGGCGATGATTTGGACCGGTACCCTCCCTCCCCCACCCCCTCCCCCTTCGCACACCATTCCTTCCTCGACTTTACGATCCAACTTCCAACCGGGAGACACTGGCGAAGCGCAGTTTTCCAACCTCTTCTTTTTATTGGTTGGAACGGTTGTGTACGTTGGCGTGTTGGGGCACCATCGTTTCCAGAGAGGCAGCTGGGAACGAACCGCGACTTTGGTCCTCTCGATGCTCGTGTATTCCGGGGTGTACCCCCCTCCCCCCGCCCCTCGGTCCCGACTTGTGTCTCCCTCCACCTCCCCCCTCCCTCATTCTCCTCACCCTTCCTCCCCCCCCTACCCTGCGACCCCCCCTCATAAGCGGATTACGTGGGTCCCGGAACGAGCGAAGCGAGGCTCGATGGCACGAGGAAGGTGGAGGAGGGTGGGTCGTAGCGGGGAACTGTTCAAAATTACGCTATCGCGACCTCGCAACGCTTACACCCCTCTGCGCCACCCCCTTTCCTGTCCTCCGGTCTGCGGTACCACACCGACGCCTTATATACCCTTTTGTCGTTGAATGCCTCTCGAAAATCATCTTCGACCTAGTCTGTTTTCGGATCGAGAGAAGAGAAAATTGTTGTGCAATAACGGTTGAAAACGTTGAAAACGCGAGCGAGAATTCGATTGGAACAATTGGTTGGAATCCCGTTGTGCGTTCCCCGTTAATACTGATTCGCTTCGATTTTTTCGTGTTTCAGGGATGAACCAGCGGAAACAGCGTAGAGAGAGGACAACTTTCACCAGAGCGCAATTAGACGTGTTGGAAGGATTGTTCACGAAAACGAGGTATCCGGACATCTTCATGCGGGAGGAAGTTGCCTTGAAAATTAATCTGCCGGAATCACGAGTTCAGGTGAATTTACAAATTTTTTTTTTCTCTCCTCCTCTTCTCTTCCTTCCTTCTTTCTCTTTTTCGTCAATTTATTTAATTTGTTCCTCTTTCTTTCTTTCTTTGGCTCGAACGAACCGTTGTTATTATTATTATTATCATTATTATTATCCGCCTATGTCGCGACGAAAATCGAAAAGGGAGGAGGAGAGAGAGAGAGGAGGAGGAGGAATTGGCCGTACGATTTTATTCGTCGCGCACGGATTACTATCCTATCCAACAAGTCACGGGAGAAACGTTGAGAGTGACGATCCCGGTGGAGAGTAACGATAGTAACGAGGATAGGAGAGGGACAGGGGAATGGGAGTGTTTCGTGCTCCGGCAAGCATGGACGAGATTTAAGGTATTTACACAACGCGGTGTCGCGCCCTACGTCCCTCCGCTTTCCGCCATTGTCTGTACCCGTGGCCTGTACATTGATAGACGAGCTCGTTGACGCTTTTATTGCGGTCCTCGTAACATCTTTATTTCGGGATGTCCTCCTCGTGTCATTCCCGGATCGTGACGAGAATGCGGTCGCGAATCCTTCCAACCCCTTTCTCTTCCTCGCGCCCATCAACCGTGTTTATCGCCGCGTTTTTAATCGCGTATTTTCGCGTATTTTCTCGATGTAATTGTAATTTACACGCGATGATATATCGAAAGCATCGCGTAGAAGAATAAAGTCGTCGATTTCTCTTTGGGATATAGAATACGAATTTCCGGAAAATTGCACGGAGTTTCCACGCGTTAAGTTAAGCTCCTCCGAGGTGAATGAAGGCGCAACTGCTAAAGGGTGTAATACACGTCGCACGAATATACACGTATCGTGCACGTGAACGAATAATATCGAAGGGGAGAGATGGATAACGGAGGAGGGAGGGGATCTAAAAGTTTTCGAGGGAGAAGGAGAGAGAGAGAGAGAGACTTGTATATATTCCGTTCTGTACGGAGTTATCTATACCATAGGAGCGAGGAGGGGGAGGTGTGTTAGGTGGAGAACACAGAAGCACGATGCATGGAACGCGACATATAGTTGATTTGTTCCTGGATTATAGCCCTTCGTTCTATCTCGCTCGCGAGTTTCTATACGCCTGTCCTCTCTGCGAGAGAACGACACAGCTGCGCGCGATGTTTGCTACGTTTGAATGCGCCCGGTCGTTCGTCCATCATTTACGATCGAGGAGCGCGTCAAAACGTTATTTTCTCGGTGAAAAAGAGACGACGGGCCTACACTGCCTCTACCCGGGCTACCGTCGCTACCGTCCGACCGAGGGTGGGAGGGCCGATAAACCAAACTCCTCGCGAACAGGTTTACCTTACGAATTTACGTCCTCGTATTAAATTCCTGTCCGACGATAATCTTTCGATATCGCATACGAAAATATCCGTAACTGTTCCGTGATCTTCGACATCGAGCTCGATCGATTAAAAATTATCGCGTATTATCGCGAATGATGCAGGCATCGATTCTTCGCTGCTCTTCGGTTCGAATAATACGAATTATTTCGAATTATTTCGTATATTCATTATTAATAACATCTTCTCGTCCACGGTTGGAGATATAAACTCGGAGAAAATAATTAATAGCGCAAACAACGAGAAAATATATTTGTCATAACGAAAGTGTCAACGCAGCTGCTCCAGCCCACTGGCAAATGGGTTGGTTCTCCGCGTTGGATGCTAACCAGATGGTGATGCAATTTACACCTAGCCATCGATACACATACAGTGTAGAGAAACTGACTGTGGTTCACCCCGAGGGTTTCCACCAGGGATGGCACCGTTCAGTTGGTTTTTGGGGTAGCTGCGAGTTGTGTGTTGTTCCTGTGGGGCAAGGAGAGGGAGGGAGGGGTGTCGTTGTGCAACACGGAGCGGTAATGGGCGTTTTCTCCCTCCCTTCGTCCCCCGCCGCGGATCTACACCTCTTCTCCTCCTCTCGTCCCACGATCACTCCTCTTGCGGTTGATATCGCGCAATATCCACTCCCCCCCCCCCCCTGCCTCTTCCCTTCGTGTTTGCGAAACGAGAGTGTCCGTCCATCGCCACGAAACGGAGGAATCGGTATTTCTTCTCTCTCTTATCTTATCTCATCTTATCTCGACGATCTTATCGATTCGAATTTTTCGCGTTTTCCTTCACGTTCAATTTCTTCTCGTTCAATCCCCATTGCAGTATATATATATATATATATATATGTGTATGTGCATGTATATATTCTGGACGAGGTCGGGACGCGACCATACTTTTCCCTTCCGTTCTCAACTCGACCCAACTCAACGCGACTGGATTCATGGCGACTGGAGATCCCGGTACACGGTTGGACGATTCGCGTTCTTCGTAACAACTGTTACAATACTGGCCGATAATAACAACAATAAAGGCGGATCTTGCTTTTAAAGGCACGGGCATAGATTCATAGGATCGCACCCCTGGCCACATTGTGTGCCCGGATTACAGGGGGTGCGCGAGGGGGAGTGAAACAGGGGGGAAAAGTCTGCGTAGAAGCGAACTTGCGGCCTACTACGGGGGATACTTTTCTCTTTTCTTTTCTTTTTTTTTCGTGCGGTGCTCGGGAGTACAGTATCCTTGTCTCTTGGCAAGAAAGGAGGGAAAAAGAAGGTGGTTTCCTTCTTTCTTTTCTACGAGCCTCGTCCAATTTCCGAGCGTTCTTTTTTTTTTTTTTTTTTTGTATCACGAGCCTCCTGCGCGTTATTACATTCCCGTTACGGATATGCATACACGCGTTTTTCGAGATAAATTATTCGATATCTGCTGACAAAGTAATAAAAATCGTTGTATATATATATATATATATATACATGATAGATTTTAATTCGCGCACGCGTTCTGACAAACACACCGTTCGGCAAAGTGAATCCCGAGGGACACATGGACGGTACACACGTGCGTACGCAGAGCGCGAGCGTGTAAACTTTCATATATATATATATATATATACGCGTATAAAAGCGTATAAAAGCCCCTGAACTCTCCTCTACCCCCTCCCCTCCCTTGGTTGTTATTGTTACGATTTAATGAAATGTTACGGCCGTCCGCCCGCGATTACTTTCCCATTGCACCGATTAACTCTCCCCCCACGGTTGCCACGGTTCTTCCCTCGTGGCGGGACACCTTTTCTTTTCTTCGGCCGATCCCTCGCGAAAGAAAACCCCCAATATCCGCTCGCAAAACGGATCTCCCTCTCGACTGGGAGAAGGAGC